AAAAGCTTTTATCGTCCTCGTGTTAGGCACATCGCAGGGCCCCAGCCGGTGCCGCCAAAGCTTGGTGCCCACGATAGTGTCATTCATCTTGCCCCACATGGCCCCCAGACATCGAGTTCAAAGAGGAATTGCAACCGGCAATGACCAATATTGAATTAAATGGAGCTTCATTCGCCAAATTTTGCTTTCCAAACGCTCACCTTTCCATCTGATATGCACACACTGTAGCTCCTGCAGCACCACGCCATGCGCTGCCTTCCATGCTTGCCGAGGCTTGAACAGCAACGCCATCAGGCCGCTTATGGTTCAGTTGCTCGAGGTGGGATTTGCCGCCAGTCTTAACGGAGATGTGGTATTCCTTTGGCCACCACGGTGATGCATCGCCCTGACGTTGGTCCTACGCTCACAGCCACTTAAAGTCATAGAGGCCGTTTCTCCCTTTCTGCCACTGCCAGATCAGGTGTCCACACTTGCCTTTCCCCGTGGAGGAGGCGCCCGTATTGCGAACTTTGTTTGCATCCTTGCACACTTCCATGGCCACCCCTTAATGTCGCGATTACAAACGCAGCTACGTTAGCCACGTTATCTGCAGCCTGGATAGTCGCCAGCCCCATGCCCACCGCTGTCGCTAATCCCCCCCATACTTACCTCCCCATCGATTGGGGACCTTTGGCAAAATATTGGCCCCTCCCACAGCGGCTGCGGCACCCATCACACCAGACTCGCCGTGCCCATCATGCTGGCCATTTCCGTTGCATCTATCACAGACATTGGTCATTGCCTTTGCCCTTTTATAGACTGAGTGCGCCCAACAATGTTCGCCGTCCCCGCGGCTGCCGCACACACCACGAAGGAGAACAGCAATGGAACTGTGCACAGAAAAGCAAAGAGAATAACAAATATGTTATTGAAAACTTCAAATGTTTCAATGGGCTGATGACAGATTTCATTGAGTCACGTTTGGATTCAGAAATGGAATGCTGTGCGCGGCTATTTCATTTCTATGAGCTTTTCAAAATCAGTTTCCGTATCAAGCCAATCGCCACGCCAGGTCAGTGGATATTTAAGACATAGCCAAGCGGCCCCTCGCAATCTATCCTAAACCGCCAAAAATGGTTGCCAGCCATCCCGGCGGCCACGTGGCGACGCAGCTTTGAAGAAACAACCGGTAGGCAGTCACAGAGCGCGTCTCGCAAAGGCACCAGCTTGGCACGTTGCTGAGCTGGTGGCTTTTGTACCTCTGTTTTGGGAATAAATTGCGTTAGCGATAGTAATTTGCAGTGCTTAATTGTACCACTTTTCCTCAAAGAATTTTCATCGAAGCAGTAACGCTTCGCGCCGCGGGCCAGTCACTGTCGGACCCGCTGCCCGCCCAACCAGAACGGGGAATGTGCGGGAACTCTGTCAGCGGGCATTCAATGCCTCGCGGTTTGAGTCCCGAGAAATCGAACGCACCTAATTGCGAGTTTCAGCACTTCGGCGGCGGAACGAGTAACCGGCCTCAGGCGGACAGAAAAACGTCTCAAAGGGAAGGAGGCCCCTTGCGCATTAGTGGAAATGTCCATTTCCGGGACACCGATTGAATGTGAATGACTCTTGCTGGGACGCCACTGGGACTTTTCCTCAGATGCGAATGCTCGAGAAAACGTCCCAGTGGCGTCCCAGTAAGCGTCATTTATGGTCAATTGGCGCCCCAGAGATGGCCATTTCCACGAGTGGCAGCTAACTGCTGTGCGCCCCGGCGGTTTGGGAATGGCCATGTTCCATGCTTGTCAACGCGTTGCCGCCTTTCTCGTTTCTGTCTGCCGGAAGTCAGTGTCATGCCGTTGAGTGAGGCTTCGGCCAGTGGCCAAATCGCCTGGCGGGGGCACCAGATCTATTCCCATTAACGCCGCTCCAGCCGACGACTCACCATCCGAATCGAGCCACGCGGCAGTGCGGGTCGACTGTGCGACCGACTTGTGCGACCGACCCTTAGTACAATGAGCCGCACATGCGAGCATGCTTGTGCACTATACTTTTTACAACTGTGGCTTCATTCTACAGTACTTTAAAACTATAAATTCATTCTAATGAAAAATTCTAGCGGTGCTGTGAGTAGCTGCTAGCACCACCGCTAGAAGCCCACAGAAATGAGCCTATCCACAGGAGGGACGAAAGCCCACACGGGTGACAGCATTTACCCACATGGGTGGTGTCCTCGACACCATGAATTGAACTGACGTTCCAACGCTCACGATGGCCCGGGCAAGAAGCATGGGCAAAATGGGAAGCTAACTTCCTTGAATTTTTGTGTAGAAGTTTCTGATGGATGAACACAACAAGCTGCAGCTGCGCATCGGCATCCATACATGCGGCGATTCGCACAGACGTCCAGGAAAGGGAGCAGTTTCAAGCTCAGAACGTCTTTTTGTGGCAGTAAGTCGTGGGCCTCTTGAGACTGATTGAGCTGAAGGAGAGCATGCAGTGTAATTCAGTGGTGGTGTTGAGAATTCAAGGAGCCCACATCTTCAGATAACGCGCGATGGACGCAAGTCAATGCGCAAAAAAGGATGCAAAACACGCGGCTGATGAGCAGAAATTGAATAAACTTGTTGAGAGAGGACAATGATCGCGTAAGATACAGAAATATGACCTGCTTGTGGCGTTCGGACGCCCCGAGCAGGTGCGTTGTGTCCTTGTTTTGATAGTACGGACGCAACTTGAGCACATGTCCTCATCGAATTGCAATGCCATACCATTCCTTCGTGGCGCACACAATGTGCAATTTGGTCTCCACGGGTATCTGATATCTCGACTGTGAAAGCCGAATGGATAGGCAGGTATATTCTTTGTGGCGGCTGGTTACGTGTGCATAATGCAATGATTTGTTGGACATGAGTTCAGGAATGCTTGAATGGACATGTGCATGTGCCGTCAAAAGAGAAGTGCGGCAGAATAGCTTCGAAGAATGATGCGGATGATCTTCAGACCGCCTTGAGCTTGAAATACTGCACAGCGCGCTGCGCGCCACGCCCCCCCCCCCTGGCAACAATTGGCGAAAAGCTGCAGTCGTTGGTGAGGGGGGAACCATGGACGCGGATGGAGCTTTGCATTTGACTCGTTTCTGGAGTGTTGGTGGAACGAAGACTACGAATCTTTGGCGACTGCAACAAGCAAATGCTCGCACGTGTCAGCTCCCCGTGCGGTCGGTAAACACTTCACGAACCGCCAGATCTTCCGCATCCACACCGATTCTCAGGGCCGTCTCTCGTGCCGTATTCAGTAGTCATTTCAATGATCCAGTAGTCAACAATGTCATCAACAATCCAGTTGGACGAAGTTCGTGCCACTGGAACCGGAGGCGTCCTTGCGCCCACTCATAGCTGGGCCAGTGTACAGAGAGCCCCGTTGGGCTCTCGGTTGCTTGGACCAACTTGCACACCAAACGTCGCCGCGATTTTCGTGGCTCCGCGAGTTTGTGCCGCCTGGCAGACTGGCGATATTCCTCAGCGACCCATGGTTTGTTGAACGTCACCAGGCAAGAATACAGAGTCGCCAGGATGCCACCATCGGTGGTGAATATGAGGGCGGCGAAGATGATGCAATGATTGCAATATGTATGGTGTTGAGGTGATGGGGATGGACATGGTGAATATGTGGTTAAGTACGGTGAAACAGACACGGTGTGTAAACGGGGAGCTTGAGCGGAGTACGCTGGCGGCATGGCTATGCAATTGGTGCACTCAACCTGTAGTCCATCCTGCCACGGCTTCGCTTCCCGCGCCGGGCAGCCACCGTGATGCGTGGAACTTTGTTCTCGTCACGGTGAATGGTGACAGCGTTGCGCATGACAAACCCATGACGCCTCTGTGCACTCGCTGTACAGCTCGGTGCACAACTGGCTGTACAACTCCGTGCACGTGCGTTGTCATTTTCCACAAACCTGCAGCGTAATCGGGCGTCGCAGTGGGCGCGAGCGAGGTCCAGCGCGCACGAACTACCGGCTTGCCGACACCGAGGCGTTCGACAGCCCAGATCCATTCAACACCATTCCCAAGTCCAAGATATTTTCAGGGGGAAACCGGTACAATAAAGTACTGTATACCAGGCGCGCCCGAACGAACACCGGCCCTCGGCGCACCCATCGACCGCACCGGCACGGGAGGGCGTCCGATTGACCCCCTCTGTGCCCGTAATCTTCTGATCCTGCCGAACAACCACTCGCTGAGCACGTGAGGGCCGGGCGTCAACACCGAGCACCACCCCCAATCTCGCGGAGGCCCACTCGCTTCCACGACGCCCTTGACGTCTCTCGCCCGCCGCCCGCCACGTGGCCGTCGGCCCTGCATAATCGCCTCCGCCGTGGCACATCACCGAATGCAAGTGCCGGGCCTCAGTGTCGAACTCAGTTGATGGGGGGGCCCTTTCATCGGGGCTCGTGGCGTGCCGCGCAGTCCGGCGTGGGACAGCCCGGCGGAGGGGGCGCTGGCCGCGCGGCTCGAACTGCGACCTTCGCGCGCGGGTGCAGCTCCAAAGGACCGCTGGGCGCCAGCCTGCCCGCCCCCCCCCGCCCCCCCTTGGCCGCAGGGAACAACCCAGGAGCTGCCGGAGACCGCTGTTGATCGCGCCGGGTGAGTCATGGACCGCCTCTTGGCGGGTGCCGGGGCATGAGGGGCGCTGGGGCGCTCAGGGCCGGGGGGCGGGCGCCCGCATCGATGTGCCGCTGCCCTCCTTGCGAGCGGAAGCGCCCTCTTGGGCGACCGATGCCGCCAGACCCCCCACCCCACCACTAGCGCACTGAACAGCGCAGCCCTGCGACCTGCTCTCCGCCAGGAGAAGGCCCCCTGTCGCCACAAGGCATTCGCGGCTGTTGCCGACGCCCGAAGCATGACATATTCATCCGTCCTCGCCCCGTAATCCCCCACCCTCCGCCCCATTTTCCCGAGTTTTCCGCTCTCCTGTTTGCTTGGCTCGAGACTGAGCCCGTGTGCGGTCGCCGGCAGGCCCGGCTGCGGCGGATGGACCGCTCCATATCGCTGGACAGCCCCGCCTCGGTCGACCTCTCTCCGGACGACGACGACCGGCGTGCCCACGCCATCTCCTCTTCCTCCTCTCCCGATCCCCGCGGGGCCTTCTACCGCGTCCACCCCCCCGCCCCCGCTAGGTGCGGACGCCGATCTTCGACGATGGACATGCCGCATCGACGCGCGCTGTTCTCTCCTCTGCATCCGCCTTATCTTGTCGGGGTCTCCCACTAAATCTCTCTGAAGGTGGGACTATGCCTTTGTATCCTGTCTCGTAGCAATCGTACCCCGCCAGGTGTGGACGCCGATCTTGCACAATGGACATGCCGCGCCGACGCGCGTTGTTCTCTCCTCTGCATCCGCCTTGTCTTGTCTAAGGGCTCCCGCTAAATCTCCCCGAAGGTGGAGGAAAAGTGGGACTCTGCCTCCTCATCCTGTCATGTAGCAATCTTACCCCAAGCCCCGCTGGTGTGTGCACCGCTCGTCGAGAATGGACAGGCTGCGGCGGCACGCGTCGTTATCTCCATCGTACCCGCCTTGTCTTATCTGGGGGCTCCCGCTGATTCTCCTCGAAGATGAGGGAAACTTGGGATGGCGCGTGCTTACTCTGTCTTGTAACAATCTCACCCCTTCCCCCAGCCGGGTCAAGCGGCGGCTCAGGGCATGCTGCGTTGGCGCTTTGATGTTCTCTCCTTTGCATTGGCCTTGTTTTGTGTCCGGTCGCCCGCTAGGTCTCCTTGAAGCCGGAGGAAAAGTGGGACTTTGCCTCCTCATTCTGTCCTTCAACAATCTTGCCCCCTGCCCCTGACAGGTCAAGCTACGGCTCGGGCCTGGTGGACGCCCAAGAGGACGACCGCACGAGCACCAGCTCGTCGAGCTCTTCTTCTTCTGGCGGGGGATCGGATGCCGCGGGGCTGCGCAGGCAATGCTCGGCTGGAGATGGGCGCGGCGCGTCACGGGGGTCGGCACGCGGCGGCAGCGGCACCGCCCGCGGCAGGAGGGAGGAGGTGACACGCCTGACGCGGCTGGAGGTGGCGGCGCCTGACGAATTTAGGGGAAGGGCGATGGCGGGGCCGCCGGCGAGGAGCGGCGGGGCGCAGCGGGTGGGGCGGTTCACGCTCAGGCAAGGGAGGAGGGCCGGGGATGCGGCGGGAGACGCCCCGAGGGCGCGAGGTGAGGTTCGTTACAAATTTGTCACGAAGAGAGTGGAGGGGGATTGGTGCGAGTGGGTGTTCTTTCTGTTTGTGAGGAGATTTGGTGCGATTGGTGTCATGGCAAAGATGTGCATGTCGCTGTGGTGTGTGTAGCCATGGGTGGAACAGCCGCAAAAATGTCGGTTGAACGCGTCCGTGGCCATACCTGTTTCTCCCACACGCGGTGCAAAGCGAAACAGGTCGCAAAGGGCGCCCACTGGTAAGCATGGTGGTGGTGGCGGGTTGGGGGGCATGCAGCTGTGGTTGGGGGTTTGGGGGGGCGTGGTGATGTCCGTTCTTTTCTTTGGGTGGGATTTGTTACATGGCTGGACAGCCATGCACGCTGCATGCACACGGTCCTCTAATTAGCCCTGCCTGCTGCATGATGCCTGGGCTGCTTGCAGACCATGAAGGTGATGTGATTTGCTGCCTGTGAAGTTTGCTAGGGGTAAATTGGCACATGGGACGTGCAGCGATAGTCGCATTGGGCTTGAAAGCAGTGTTAGTGCAGATCGTGAGGTGGTGTGCGACTTTGAATGTTCCTGGAGGGCTTGGGCATTATGTGGTATTGGGGAGTTGATGGTGTTCAGGAGCCCATGGGCGAGGGGAAAGGAGAGTCTTGTGTGGTGGGCACTGGCTATCAGGCCAACGGGTGCAGGGGGTGGGGACGGCCCAAAGGAACATCCGGTTTGAACGCCTTGTGCGTGCTGTGGATGTAGATTGGGCACAACACTTGGTACCCGGTAGTTTGCCCTGGTTCCCGCTCTAGGAGGGTGTTCTGTATGGCGGAAGTGCAGTGCTCTGTTGTAGTCAGGGCTGGGCGGGGGGCACCTTTGCACTGGCTGCTGCTGCTGTTGCACACCTGTGTGTCCTTTTCCCGCTGCTTTGCCCCTGTTTACACATTCCTGTGTGCACCCTGTGGATTGAGAGCTCGCCCTGCCTCTTCTGGCATTGGTCTGATGCTGTCGGCTGCCAGCATGCAGTCATGTCACCAACACAGATTCTATGTTTAGGTTTCTGAAATCTAAATTGACGTCTTGTTGTGGCCGTGTAGATGAACGACCTGGGAGGAGCGAGCAGAGTTCATGCAGTGACAGGAGCACTGTTGTGCAGGAAGAGCAGGATATCGAGCTGCTGAGGCAACAGGTTTGCAGAACTCTGGGCAATCATGTCACTTGTCTGGCACCCCCTTTCTAACGGTTGCAAGCCCAACCTATCAGCCAGTCTGTATGTTCACCCATCCATTTATCCATCCACACCTCCATCTGAACTCTGCACAACTGATGCACCAACAATCTAAGTCAACCCTGTCCCTGTGCAATGACAGATGCTGTGGTAGCAGAAGACAGCAACAGACGGAAGGAAGAGTGATGCCTCATGCATGCAGATTGCTGATAGTTCACGTGTCAATGAGTTGCTGTAGGGTGCAAGAGAATGTGAATTTGTTGGCATCTCATCAGCACCCAGCATGCACTGGGTTAGGGCTGGTGATATCTTGGAGAATCTTATCTTGGCCAGAAACTGCTGCTGCCAGTCGCCACTGTGATGCAACTGCTATTGTGTTGGCAGCTTTGTTGGTTGTGGTGGCATTTTGGTTACATTTGAATGTTGAAATGTGATAAAGCAGTGCCTGTGCACCCCAGTGTTGAGCAGTGGAGCTGAACTCAAATACACTGATACTCCTTGCATCCCCATCAGCAACATGAAGTCGCGCGTCACTTCTTGTGCTCATCGGCATACCAAGCAGAATAAGTTGGGCATTAGCACATCTGGCATGGTATGTTATGTCATTCTTTGGGCCATGACTAGCACTGCTTCCCTGCTGAGATGTTGTGCATCCACAGTGTTCATGATTACACCTTGCTACAGAAGAGTCCTAGCGGCTGACATGCATACTGTGGGGATAGTATGGCAAGGGGGCAATATACTTGCAGTTTATTTATGTGTCACAGAACATTCACAATGACATTTGCACTTGTGTATCGAATGTGTGTTGGAGCAGATCGTTCTTATGCCCTGATGTGTTGGTGGGTACAAAGGCTAGACAACAATTCATTATTCGGTGTCACAGATGTATTCACTGCCATGTTCATGGATAGCGCAGTTGTCAGAGGTGCGTTGAATGGCTTTGAGGTGAAGTGAAGTAGGGACGGGGACGGGTGTGTGTGTCTCAGGTTAGCGACTTGGGCAAGCAGCTGTGGCAGATGCACAAGGAACATGAGAAAGAAAAGTCAAAGATGATGGACGAATTCGAGGCCAAGTTGAAGGAGGCACAAGCTGACAACGCAGCACTGATCAACAAGTTAAGGGAGCAGTTGCGGGAGAAGGACAGGCGGCTAAAGGAGAGCTGCAAAAGGGCGGACCAGTTGGAATGGCAAGTGGAGGATTTGCAGTTGAAGATGCAGAATGCAATGGGCATTCGCCAGCCATACGGGACACCCATCGTTGTCCCAGGTGCGGCTAGCTGTTGCAGTTGACAGTTCTTTACTCCATGCTTAACACACTGTGGTGAGCTCTAGTTGATCTCAGTAGGCAGCACTGGTCATCCATGCGCAAGGCACTAATGTGCATCGGTAGTTGCTGCATTGCCACAAAGCTGTCTGCTGTGGAGACTGTGGCTCTCAGTTTGTGCAAGCTGCTTGCTGCTGTGGTTTCATGAATGCTCCTGGTCTTCCTGGGCAATTGTACTCCATCGCTATTCATCCATTCTCCCTGTGCAGTACTCATGAAGTGCTGTGTTGACTGTACCCAGCTGGCTGGTTGGAATGAAACATTTTGGTGACTGAACTCCAAAATTTCTTGTTTAATGTGTGGAAAGACACCTGTTCACTTTGACTGAGCGTCCCTGTGCCTATCTATACTCCCTGAACTATCTTTCAACGCAGATGCTGATATGGTTGAATCCCTCTTAGCGATGATTGCCCCATGCAGCTGCATCAAAGGTGGCCCAGGCCATGCATACCTGAGCTTTGTCTTTGTGCAGTTTGTGTGACAGAATTTCATTCTGTTATGATTCTGGCAGATGAAGGGGTTTGCATGAATCAGAAGTCCAGCTCAAGAAGGCGAGTGGAGAGTTCTGAAGAGGTCTTGCGATCGCATAGTGATACCCAGAAGAATGCCTCTCGACAGAGGGGCCTGCCACCACGCAGTTTAACAGAGTCCAACATGTCTTCGGGTGACTTCCCACAGGGTGGTATGCTCAACTCTTACTCTGAGGCAGTGCCAGCCATCCCGCCGAAGCACTTGCAGCAATTCAGTCCACTGACGGTGAGACTTGGCGTGAGCATGCCTCCAATTGTTTGCATGTTGCTGTTTGATGGGTGCATCAATGAGTTGCGGTGTCAACTTATAGAGTATTGTCAGCCCACATGCCATCCCTACACATTTTGTCATGTTATGTGCACATGCACTGCCACGTCCAGATTGCTCGTCCACCCACAATCAAGAGATGCTGGGCAAGGATGCAAACAGGAAGACAACATTGAAAGCGTGTCGCCGTACGTTGGACTGTTGCATGAGTTGTAGACGTTGGCATTCTTGTTGAAACTCCTGTGTCAAAGTCGCTGTTATGTGGTAAAGTTGCTGGAGAGCGAAGATAGAATACTGTTGCGCAGGTTTGTTGCACAACTGTCGTTGCACACCTGCAGGTGCAAGCCCAGTGCTTTGTGTATTTCATCAAACGGAATCTACACGGATTCACAAAAATGTAAACGGAAGTTAGAATATGCGAAATTGCAGTACAAGGGACCGTTTTCAATTGATGTTCTGGCCGTGGTCGTAAAATTTCTTAAAGTGCATTGCCAAGCACAATGCAAAACCACACGCACTGCAACTTGCGGACTTTGATGGGTACTGTGGACAGAAACAGATGTTCGCAGTGTGTGCAAGGCTTGGAGCGTGTCTACCCTGAGCGCTTTTGTCAGGCTGTGAAGGAAAGAAGCGTATGGCTGTTTGGTGTTGTATGGACACAAAGGTTTTGAGTATCATTTGTATGTGTCTGTGTGACAACACATTGCTAAGACTCGGTTGACAGTTTGGTGTAAGAAGTCCTTCCCTCACTGGCGATACCTGTTAATCGCAGTTCCTGCCCTTTTAAACAGCAGGAAATGCCGCATGACACGGGTTGCACTGTTGACAAGTGCTCTTTCTCTGCTGCAGATGAGGCGGCGACTGTGGACTGCGCCTAAAACACTGGAGCAAGTCTTCACAGACGACGACGGGGTGCATGCACTCGCTGTTAGTTCTGATCCTACCAAACGAACAACAGAACTGCAACGATTCCCCAACTGCTTGCCCGTGATCACAAACTGGCATGCATTGAATTCATTCCCAGCGAGCTGTGACACAGCTGCTGTGCGAACGCTGCCGACCTTTATGCAAGGCGAGCACGTTGAGAAGCAGTACAAGCGGGTGTCCACGGGTGAAAAATAGTCTGCCTTTTTTTTGTGTTTGAATTGGGGGATGTTGGTCGAATTCTCCCGGCCTGGTGACAGGGTGTGGCGCATTGGGTGGTGGTCCCAGAGGAGAGTCGGGCAGGCTGTGGCTCCTGGACGACATGCTGATGGGACGGCACCTCGGCTGGGTTTGCTCAGCCGCCTGGCTCCTTCGAGATACGGCGGGGTCCACTCCTCACCGCTCAGTCTGCCGCACACCTCTTATCGCCACCAGTTTAGCTCTTGGTGGAGCTGCTGCCTGGATGCGACTGCACATAGGCTTGGAGGTTCTTGTGGCGAATTGCTATCAAAGGAGGATGGAGCGGGCGTGTGCCGTTTGGATTGTGGCTACAAGGGACTCGAGGGGTGGCCGTGCACTGTCGCTTAGCAGTAGCTTTCCGCCTGGATCTTGAGAGTGGGTGGAACAACTTGGGCTGCGCCTGTAGGCAGGAGGTGAGGGAAGGGGCGGGGGTGAGTGGGGAATTACGCGTTGCAATTGCTTGCCTGCAAATGTGGGTCCACTGACATGCTCTGTTGCGGCTGATTCATTGACATCGCCATGGCGGAGTTGAGACGGACCTGGACGCGTTGCAGCATGCATTGAACAACGCCGGCGTGTCGCCGGTGCTGGGATGGTGACCATCTCAATAACAAGACATCAGGCGGTTTCATGGGCATTTTGGGGGCCGCCTGGGGATGATGCGCTTTGCGGGTGACCTTTTAAACTGCGCGGTTTATCCGATGTTGCCTGCATGGAGAGCAGGGTTGTCCGGATGATCCCAAGTGCCTGCGTTGTCGTTTGCGCCCTCATGCGAGCTTCATTGCGATGCCCGCTCCTCGTCTGCGTGTTTGGGCGCACGTGCACAACAAGCAAATGCACTGAGCACGCCCGCCATCCCTTGGACAGATCCGGGAACATGGTACGTGCACAACGCCAGTGGAATCCCTGTGAGAATATATTACTCCCCGTTCTTGTTTGCTGAGATTCTTGTTCCGCTGACAAGGCCAGTCCCGGTGCGTGGATCAGTGGTTGGGGTTTAGGGTGTCCGAAAACAAGAACCGAATCTCAGCAAACAAGAACGGGGAGTAGTTTTGTGCCAATCCCTGTTTTCTCGCTTGCGCAACAGCGCAGCGCCAGCGCGATCCTTGTGTACTACACCTCGGCTCCGGCTGCGTTCTCTCTCCCTCCCGCCCGCCCCAGCGCACCATCACCACACGCGTGGCCATCCGTGGTCAATGTAACACCAGCCCGTCATTCGGGCTGTCCCATCCCTGCTGCGACGACACTTTTTGGGCATGAACGCTGAGTCGCAGGCAAGCGTAGATTCTGTCCTCCCTCCAACGTGCATCACCCCAACCACACGCGACGCGATCCCGGCCAATGATCGCCCCAAGTCCAACCCCTTGGCTGCCGAAAGGGCCACGACAGAGCCCCGTTGTACGGCCAAGGTCCTCACTCAACGCCGATCACATATTTCGGCCCTGCAGACGGAGGCTGACTGTCGCCGCCTGTACCACCGTGTCGTACGTGGCTGGTGGCGCATGAGGGGGGCAGCTTGCCCTGTGGTGCTCGCGGGGTCGTTGTCCTCCACCGGCCGCCCGTCCCCCCGGGTCACACCTAGGCTCGCCTCCGGCGGTGCAAGGCCGGCTGTCCGGAGGCGGGGGGCTTAGAGGGCGCCTGGAGCGGCGCGCAGCGCCACAGCCGGAAGAGATCCTCGGCGCATTTGCCCCCGCCCCTCGATCCAGCGTGGTGCGCACGAGTGGGCGTGAGCGCCGCGATTGCAAGGTTCGCCCCGCTTGAGTCGCCGGTCGCCCGGCCCCTCGCCTCGGGCCGCGCGGCGGAAGCTCAGCCGACGGTGGGGCTCCGCCCGCGCGGGCTGCATGACGCAGTGTGGCGAGCCCCCTCCGTCGACCACCTGTCCTGCCCGTGGGTCAGTGACCCGCGCTCCCCCGCTGCCCTCGGCTCGTTCCTCGTCGCGCGTATGGGAGAAACCACCACGCGCGGCACCCAGCCGATGGGGCGGCCCTGATTTGTCTCCCTTCACCCTGCGGGCCACGTCACTGTCCCCCGGTGCCCCTCTGTGACAGAATCTTCCGCCCGGCGCCGCCCCAAAGGCGCCTACGCCGAGATTTTGGGTCGCTTTGGCGCGTCGATCGCGCCTCGGCGCCGCACGGGCCGCCCGCGTCGAGCCGCGCCCCAGGTTCGCGCATCCGGCGCGGGATTTGATCCGGGGGCCCGCGATGGGATGTCTTACGCCACTGCGGCACGGCGCGGCACGCGGTGCCCCCTTTGGGCGCGGCGTCCCTGACAGTTGGGCCCTCTCCCTGTGTCCTCTAGACGGCGGGCGCCTTTCTGAGCACGGTTGGGCGAAATTCGCCCGTTCGGTCCCTCATTCTATTTCGGAGCGAATTGACGTGGTGCCCTTGGGTCGTCGGTACCGACTCTCGCTGATCGACTGGCGGTCGTCGTTGTTGCGAACATCGCCCTGGATTCTGCCGCTGGGGCGCGAAGCCCGGACTGCTATTGCGGGTCTGTGTGCCCGGCCGCTTTGTGGATTTGGCGCCCGCTGCACACGGGCCTTGGCTGGCTTGGCGGGGCACGGCCATCCCCAGCCCGCTCACCTCGGCCACCGCCCTTGGAGGGGGCCTTGTCTCGCACTGCCGCGGCGCTCCTGAGGGTCGGCCAGGGCTGCTGTGAAGGTGGCTGGTGTCCAGGCTACCCTAATATCCTGATGGACAGTTTGCGCCTCATTGCTTGTCGAAGGCATTCTCCTGCAACGTAGCGACTGGCACCCCATGGTCACTCCTTCCAAGGGTGTTTCACCGCCGCCATTGTGGAAAATTTCACACGATAATTTTGGCCGGGCTAAACGGAACGAACTCGCAGGAGGGAGATGCGGGCTCATCAGCACTGATTGAACAAATGTAGTCTTTGTGACCGAAACGCACTGAACTGAAGGCAGCGTTTGGCCGTGTGGTCACGCCAGATGGCCCTTCCTGATGCGCTGTACTGCACGTCTGTTCTTTGGACTTCTGTCGTGAGGTTTTTGTACCAATTCATCGTTGTTGTTTGCCGTTATTGTTTTGCCGGATGTGCAGGCTTTTCGCCAACTGTTGAGGACCGCTACCTTTGCATGCTTCCCAGAAGAGACCACGATTTCGAGCCAAAATATGCAGCACTAGTGCAGCACCCAGCATCAGCTGACAAGTCAGCCCTTTGTCAATTCACAACAATTGGCATCGATGCTGACCACAGATGTGGTGTTGTGTTGCCACCAGAGCCGGGCTGCTGGAGGGAGCACAGCGCAGCACAGGCGCCCACGATGGGGCGTCGGTGGTGCGATCTGCGGCTGTTCCGCCTGCTGCCGCTGGTGGCCCTCATGGCCTGCCTTCCCTGCAGCTGCCAGTTCATCGATAGTGACGAACACTTCAACATTTGTGTCTCGAACCTGCTGCCCATCGTGCAGTGTGACCCCTCAAAAGACCAGGCCACGTACACTGGCTACCACATTGACCTGGTCAGCGAGCTGACCAAGCGCCTGGGCATTCGAAACTACACGCTCGAATGCAGGTGCGTGTTTGCAGCTTTGCAGTGCTACAGGCACTTTGACTTTGACCTTAATGCGTCCTTTGTATTGTCGTTTAGCTCTTTTCCACGTGTCGTCAGTAATCATCAACCACCTTGTAGTTAATGTGAATCTTGATCGCTCACAGCAGCACAGGCACCACAACCTCTGCTCAAGTGCTGTTGTCTGCAGTACTGTGAGTTGTGTTGATGGATTGACACTCAGTGCCGCAGATGCTGTGATCTCTGCTGTTGGACCATTTCATACTTTCTGTGTTTGCATGATTGGTCGATGCTGGGCTGCAGGGCTTTCGCCTCAATTCTGGCCGACCTCACGAATGACAACAAGAGCGAGATCACCTGCGACATGGTGGCCTCAGGGATCACAAGGTCGACAGCCAGGCAAGAGCTGGGAATCAAGTTCACTTACCCGACCTATCGGGCCAGCCTGGGAATCATGACGCTTGGTAGGTGAAGACTGTATGCTGAAGCTGAAAGTGAACATGGCCCAGAGTTGCAAATGCAGCCACCCCATTCTGAAACAGCATGTTGTAAACCTGTCATCCACTGCAGTCATTTTTTCCAGGATAGAGCATTGTGTATTTATTTTTTCCAACAGCAGTCACTACTTTGAACAATGGACGAAATGACTGGTAAGAACATTTTCTTGTCCTCCTTGCATCGTTCTCAGTGTAGTTCTTTTCTGATGTGTATTACTTTCCTCTTTGCTGGGATTGTCCCAACGATGAACAACCATCTGGGCAACATGTTAGTAAGGAATCACAAAACTGTTCACTGGAGTACAAGACACAATGCAAAATGGCCACATGGACTACAAGGTGGTGCAACTCCACAGTCTGAGATACACTGAAGTCAAACACGAGCCAAGGCAGCGCAATTGGTGTCAGGACAAACACGCACACCAAGGAAAACAAAAATGTTGAAGTTTGGAGTAGAAGACGAAACGCAGAATGACCGACACAGAATACGAGGATACGAGGTGATGCGACAATGCATCTTCCTGTCTGCTGCTGTGTGGGGCAATGGTCCCAAGCACAAGTGCTGGTTTGAGCAGACATTGAATGGCCAAACGCGCACCTGCGGTTGAGATGATCGCCTATCATCCCAATCTGGTGAAGGTGCTTGTGCTCAGTCTTGTGACAAGTGTCATCAAAACAAGATTACATGCTGTCTTGCCTGCTCCCTGTCTCCGAGGGAACACAGTGCATCACACGATTGTAAACACGCAGCTGAAATAGACAAACGTTTCGTGTAGGATTCTGGCAAAAACTTGAAACCATGGGCACAGTGCCTTTCGGCGTGCACCCATTGTGGCAGGTGTGCAACGATTGCAGCATTTGCACAGTTTACACAACAGTAGGAGTGGCAAAATGTTGGAAGAACAGTAGTATTTCTTGATCAGAATACAATCTAGTTGCGAAAAGTGGAATACGAACACTAAGTGCTGCGCTTGGAATAGCAAAAACAGTACCAACAGCACCCACCAGCAGTAGCAGCACAGGTGCCCAGCTGCTCCAGCTGACAGCAACTCGTTCTCTGCGCTTTGCCAGCCAGAGTGAAGGAGGGGTCGAATTGGGGCTTCCTGAGGCCCCTGCACTGGAGCGTGTGGGCAGCCACGATCGCCACTGCACTCGTCGTGCCCTGGCTCGTGTTTGTGGTGGAGAGCTTGGCCTGCCACGGCTTCATCCACAAGGGGGACTGGATCCAAGGTCTCAAGGATGCGACATATGACAGTCTGGCCGCTCTGGTCAACTTTGGGCACTACGAGGTGCACTCCGCAGCAGCTCGTGTGGTGGTCATGGCTTATGGGTTCTTGGTGCTGATAATTATCAACACGTATGTAGCCAACCTGGCGGCGTTCCTGACCATCACACAGGTGGACTCGTCGATCAATGGGCTGGACGACTTGACCAACCTGCCAGGCAAGAGGGTGGTGTCCATAGAGGTGTACAAGGAAAGGCTGCAGAGGCAGGGGATACTGCCAGTGATCGCGAGTCAGGTGGGCATCGGGATGGAAGTTTTGATCAAGCACAGAAATAGAGAGCTCAGAAGTCGCTTGCTCATGGTTGTTGTTCGTTTCCATGGCAGGGGAAGTGTGGTAGCCATGCTACGATGTACTGCCTTAAGAAATACACAATGTGTACATTTGTCGATATACTGCAGGAGTGCCATGGAAACATTTCCTACTGCAATGGAGAGCACCCTGCACTGTCGGATGAGCACAAGCACGAGTCAGAAATTTGTTTGTCATGTCTTGTGACACAAGCAGAAGTCAGCATTGCTCCAGAGATGCAACGAACCAATTCGCTTGTACATAAGAAGAACCTGTGACTGCATTTGTCAACAAGACCGTGATAAGTGCTGCTGTTGCACCTTGTAGCGGTATTGGGCTTTTTGACTCCTGGCATAGTCTAGGACTCTATTACGCCCTTTTGTTCATTTCCAACTTTGTCCATGACCCCATTGAGCGATGGTGCGTTTTGTTCGAATGTGGAGGTGCTCATGTCCAATGTATTGTTGATTCATGGCCTGAGTATCTGAAACAAGTGTACGCTTCTCATTCAATCCAGTGTCATGATTGGCTGCCAGTGGGCCTGGCAGCCGCCAATGCCACTAACAAACCATGTGAAGTGGTTGAAGTCTGGAGTGGAATGTAGCCAATTGTACAATTGTACATTGGAGTTTGCTCTTCCTGCAGGTCCAGGACTATCAGGCAAAGATGGTGGAAGACCTGAGGGCAGGGGTGTACAAGGCTGTCGTCATGGATGAGCCGTGGGTGACGTACACTGCCAGCACTGACGGCTGTGACCTAAATAGGTTGCCACAGACCATTGAGCCCTTCGACTATGCCTTTGCCTTCCCCAAGACTGGCGACGACGAACTGGTGCGGAATGTGTCAGCCGAGGTGCTGGCACTCCAGGAAGATGGGGTCATGGAGAGGCTGTCGATTGAGCACATTTACATCAGGAGGTCAGGCTGCCCGACAGACTCAGAAATCAGCGAAACGAGGGCTGTGCACTTCAACCAGGTACGCTTACGATGCATTTGATTCTGTTGATGTTTGGCAAACAGGAAAGAGCGGTAACCTCAGGTGTTCAAGGCAAATGCACCCCTGTTTCTTGTTTGCCATAAGCACTCAGATGCTCAGGGCCATCCAAGAGCCACGTTGATTCTCCAGACATCTCAAGCTAAGAAAGGAGCTTGCCTTGAATCAAGACAAGTGAATAATCAGGTAGAAAGATAAGTGCAGTACAGCAGTTTGTTTCTGTGTCATGTTCTCCCTGAAATAGCACATGTTGTCTTGGCTGTTGTTGCAGGTGCTGGGCCTGTGGATAATCCTGGCGTTTGCAGTCCTAGTGGCAGGGTTGCTACTACTGTTCCCAATTGTGCCAAGAATCCCCATAGGCACCCAAAACCGGCAGAGCTCAGAGGGAGGCAGCGACACCTCCTTGCGACGGATCCACACGCTGAAGCGCATGCCGACGATGTACCACGCAAAGGCCACCGCAGACCTGGAGTCCAAGAGCAGTGGGACCCTCTTGTGTAAAGACGTGCAGAGGGAGATCAGCGACATGAAGGACGAGATGCGTGCCCTGAGGCAGGAGGTGCTGCAGCTCATAGGCACGAGGGCGTGTGCATCTGGGATGGTGGTGGACCCTCTGCTTGAATCTAGTGTTCAGATAGACTGAGAAGGGACTTCCCAGGGAGCTGCAGAGCAGGTCTGAACTGAAGGAGCTGATCCGAACAGAATGGGGGAGGCCACCTGAAATTGAACTTACTCTGCAGTGTTGGCCACCATGCACAGTGTCCGGTCCCAGCAGAGACTGTGAATTGGGATGCTAATGGATCCCGAAGGGGATCTGCAGGATGAAGTGGGAGGAAAAGGTTCCAGGGTGTACGAACGAGCTGTTGCCTCCACCCTTTGCCGGACAGGCATGTTGGCACGGCGTGGGCTGAGAACGGGTCTCAAGACGGGTGCCAACAGTCCCTGAGGGGACAATAAACATGTGGTGGGGATGGGAGGAAAGGGGCAGGTTTTAGTGTAATTTTTCACCAAGATCGTGCCAACACTTTGGCACAGATGGACATGCTCAACCCAAGTGGGGCAGATAAATTTCCAGGCCGTTTTGCGTGGGTGCGCGCCCGGCATTGGATGTTCTGGGATATCTGGGTGGATCGAGGGACCCAGTTAAATGATGTACAACGTGCACATACAGCACGTCGTGCTGATTGGCATGTGCTGGCATGGCATTGTGGCCTGGCGTGATGATGTCCAAGTCTGGGAGTGCTCCCGCATGGAAGCTGTTTGGGATCGGTCAGCATTGCACTCGCTGACTTTGTATTCTGCTGGGTTCAAGGTTGACCCAGGACCGAGACCCTGCACCCAGGGGGTTGGTCGACAGCTGGCGCGTTGGTGGGCTGGTCAGGATGTGGGCAGTGGGGCAGATATTGTTTTCGTCAATTCATGGGGCATTTCGGGCACAGTCACTGCTCATTCGTGTCCCAGTCCTGGCAGCCTTGCAGCACATTCCTGAGGGGTTGCTTGGATGACGCTGGATGAGGAGGGTTGATGAAGATTGCACGCGCACCACGCAAATAATGGCGGGACTAATTTGGGTTGTGCTGCTGGCGAGCGTGTGAGTCGAGACCCTGACTGAGGCCATGAGCCCATCAGTTCCTTCAAGGGCGGGAGGCACTGTCAAGATTTCCGCATGCTTATGGCTGGGAGGGCGCATGCCCGTCGCTTTTGTCGCTGTACTTTTTGACTGTACTTTGCTTTAGTTGAGGGGAGAGCGGGCCAGTGTATCGATGACTAAATCCATGATGCAAAGATTTTTGGATTTTTTGGTGGCACGGATGTGAAGCACCGCCTTTGGCAGCATCCCCGCCGCCCTGTTGCGCAGTGGCTCCTGCGAAGGACTGCACTGCATGTGCTCCATCCTCATGTGACAAATGATTCCTTTAAAATTTCATGGTGAGGAGCGAACTGCCTGACTGGCTGCCTGATGGCGGTCACGACGAGTTTCTGTTGGATTTTGTGTAGGAGTTTTGATCGGCAGATCTGCAAGTGGGCCACAGGCCTCTCCAGTCGAGAAGTCTTGTGTGTCAGCGACGGGTCCCGCCATCAGAAAATTAGCCATTTAAAAAAACTCATTCCGATCACATATCGCTATGCTGCTTGAATTTGGTTTTCAGCGGTGGAAATGCGTCGAGACAGACCAGAACGATTGCAATGGCGACCGTATTTTGGCGTCAATGTTCACAGGCGCCAGGTTTTTCCACAGATGGTCGCAAACTTACCTGAGAAAAATCTGCGATCTTCGCGGCGCGATGTCGCCAACACATACATGTGGTACAAACATGTACTGATGCACCGTGCATGGTACCACCTGCAGTACTTACCTGCGGTGTACGAAGCTGCAACGGTGATGTGCTCCGTGCTGTCGGCATCGAAGGTCGTCCAGCACAAGCATGGTGCGGCCGTCCTACCTCCAAAATCCAACGCAGAAAGGGACAGAATCATGCAGTGACCAAACCCTCCTAGTGAAGGCATGGTGACGCCTTGCTCCGTGGCAGATGATGAAGAAGGGTACGATGGCTCCTCGAGAACACGCAACACGTTACGCGACACACCTGTTATGTGTTACGCGTTACGTGTTCTCGTTGAGTCGCTGGTAACGCGGCGTGCTAAGTACGCAACATACAGCACGTGAGACGCAGCACGGACTGCAGCATGTACAAGCCTCTCTTTCATGGCAAGGAGGCCGTGATACCTCGCGGCTGAGCTGAAACCAATGGATTTCCCAGCAGCTGCCAAGTGTGGCCCGTTCTTATGTCACTTTTCCCTCGCTCAGCTCTCAGTTGGGGGCACACCCTCAAAAGGGGAGGAAGAGTATGGTGGTTGCACCCGAGGGGCAGACTTGGCAAATACAGCCTACTTTTTGTCCGGAATCTGCAACTCTACATACATCGCCTCAAATTTCTAAATACGCAGGCGTACATAGACTATGCATATTCTTAAGTCGGATAGAATCGAAATATTGATGCGTTGGAATGCAATTTGATATAAAGTACTGATGGCCGTGACCTGCATGCTGCGGACCTGCCCGGGGCATCAGTCACGTGGCGTTATCCGACCACACGGGCGGCCAGCGGATGTGTTGGAAGGTTGCAAGACATGCAAGCGTTGCTGGATGCAAGCTCGCACGTCATCGCCTACAAGGTGCAAGGGCACAAGTTTGTCTTTCCGAAGGTGATTTGCAAAGATTACGGTGGATCTGCAACCCGCACGTGAGAAACCAAAGAAGCTAGGGGGAATTCTTATTCCCCTTAGGGAAAACGCTCTGTCGATTTCGTAATGCTCAGCATCAATTTGACGTTAAGTTCAGACCTCACACACACCCTCCTTAGCGTCAATCCTTGTGTCGATGCCAGCATAACTCAGCAGTATTGTCTAACAGTGGAGCGCAGTTTATAGCCGTTCTTGAGAAGAAAAGCGCTTAGAGATGTGCAAATATTGGTGGGATGAAAAATGGGATATTTAAAGGTATTTTAGGCAGGAAGGGCAGCTTCAGTGGCTGTTAACTGACACATGCCAAGGACTCCCTTGAAGACTGAACATTTTAGGGAAGTCTAGGTCCAAGTCACGTGTTTTTTGCTGCTGATCAACAGCGCTTAGAGGCATCTTTGCACTTTTTTTCGACTTTGCTGTAATTACATAAACTCCTTGCGTCACAAATGTACACCCCGGCCCCCCGGCGCCAATTTGACGCTAAGCGTAATAACATCTGCATAATGTCTTCCTTCCCGTGGAGGCTGCTGAACAACAAGCCGCAGCTGCTTGCTGTGCAGCAGGTTTGGTTCTTACGTTTACGTTTACGCTTTCATGGGTAAAAAACTCAAATTTGCGAAAGATGCTATTTGCGTGACTAACTTTACGTTTGCCCACTCGTTTGGACACCCAGGAAACGCGATAAAGGTCACGTACAATGAGCAGCCCTCCGCCATCTCCAGCACCCGCAACACAGTTGCAGCATTTGAAACGACGTTGCAAGGTATGCCATAGAGCACCATGGCCCATGCCCGGTCAACAACCTCCTTCCGCACAATTTCCACCCACGATTGGACCTGAAATGGTGCCTGGCACCAGGTCCTCGGCTTGGTGGCGGCCGGCGGCTGGCACCGATCTGGTGCCACTCATGACCAGGTCTGTGCACACAGGCTGCACCTTTGTGGTGAACAGGCTTCCGGCCTTGGCGCGCTTCTTGCCTTCGTGCTTCTTCTATCGCACCACATCTTGGCGCAAACTCCTCCCTAAACCTCCCTGGGCACTTCACCAGTGCATGTTGCCACGCCAGAGCCGACGATGCCAGCGAGGTGGCAGCATCGTCGCCCCTCTCCACCCTTCATGACTTGCCGTCAGTATGCACAGGTGGCTTGCACGCCTTTCACGCCCTCAGAATGCTTGGCATTGCGTTTTTACGTGTAAAAATAGTTTCTACGTTTTTACGCGTGAAAATGCGTAAAACTACGTAAATGCGACGTAAAAACTCTCCGTGTACATTATGCCTGTGCTGCGTGGTCACCTCGTGACCGACTGTCCCCTGAGCTAACCGTGGGGCACAAGGGTGTGTATGGACTGCCTGCGCTTTGTGTTTATGACGTAATAGCCAAGCCTGCCCCCCATATTGACCGAAATGCGCGCGTTTTTTAGTGCTGGATCGGCCTGGACGTGGGCGGGTTCCATACCCATGGCCGCTCAAGCTCGCAGTGGCCAGCGCTTTTTCCCCATGTGGGCATGCTCACTCTGGATCAGGCCTGGTTTTTAAGTTTACATTTACGTTTTCATTTTCACTTTTTTTTACGGTTTTGCGCGTAAAAACGTAAATTTGCAAAAGGGCCTATTGTTACGGCTATTTTTACGTTTTTAGGCTCCCTAGCACACGTAGGTTACACGACAAAAGTTGCGTACAATGATCAGTCCTCCGCCATCTCCAGCACCCGCAACACAATGTTCACCTCGCCCTTGGCAAGGGCGATTATGGCGTTTAACAAAAACTCGTCTTCTGCCCCTTCTAAGGCGTCTGGCTGCCACTCTCCGGACTCTGTAAATCTGTACGTACTGTCCACATGTACACCAGGCAGTTTTCACGTTGTATTTACGTATTTTTAAGCATTCTTACGCGTAAAAACGTAAATAAGATGAGTTTTTACGGCGTAAAAACCAAGCCTGCTCTGGATGCACGGCTTCCGCCCATGCCTTAGTACGCGGAGGAGGCGGCCGTATTTCAAGCTATGCTTCTTTGCCTATCCTTCGCGCCCACCACCTGAACTCGGGGTCACAGCGCCAGCCTGGCTGCTTGTCGGCGTCGTGACTATTGCTGCCACCTCGACCGTCATACTTACCTGTCCATCGGTGGGGCGCTTTGCAAAATTTGCGCCCACAGGAGCGATTGCGGCACCATCACAGCAGAAGCCGTGCAAGCCCTGCTTTCCATATGACATGGCATCCATTACTGTAATTCGACACAACGTTGCCGCTCAAGCATAAGTTTGCGGATTTCGTGCGCCCCACGTCAGCCACCGCATCTTTGGCTTCCCCACTCACCATGGACGGCGGGCATAGCGCTGTGCACAGAAACATAATCAACACAACATTGCTCCAACTCCTCGTCCAAAAGACTCATTTAATTCTGCGTAATTAAATAACCGTACGGTTGACAGGCCTGGTTTTGACGCCGTAAAAACTGACCGTGTTTACGTTTTTATGCGTGAAAATAGCTCTTACGTTTTTACACATAAAAGTAAGTGAACGCAACGTGAAAACTGCCCGATGTACATAAGGACAATACATACAGACTTACGGAGTCCGGAGAGTGGCAGCCAGACGACCTGGAAGGGGCACGAAATGAATTTTTGTTAAACGCCATCATCGCCCTTGCCAAGGCATTGTGTTGCGAGTGCTGGAGATGGAGGAGGACTGATCATTGTCCGCAACTTTCATCGTCTACCCTGGGTGTCCCAGGGGGCCGTGGAAACGTAAAAATAGCCGCAAAAATAGGCCATTTTGCAAATTTGCGTTTTACGCGTGAAAACTTTAAAGTAAAAACTTAAATGTAACGTGAAAACCAAGCAGGACGGTTGGGTACTGAAATGTATTAGTGTGCGATAATGTTTGCTTTGGATGAAGTGTTTTAGCTCGTTTTGTTATTTCAGCGCTAATTTGTCAAGCACGAAAATGTGTTGAATTCAGCATTCTGTGGCTTATTAGTGCGCTGCTAATGGGCCGTCGCGATCGAGCATCAGCCGCCACAGCAGCCGCTCGCCATCCACACGGCTGCGGAGCGAAGCAGCTTGCAACAAGCCAAGGAGAATGTTGCTGCCAGCAATGTCTTGAGAACAATGGAGTAAGATATAGTACTTATTGCAATGAGTTGTGCCACTTCTTGCAGACAAGCAGGCTTGGTTTTTACGCCGTAAAAACTGATCGTATTTACGTTTTTACGCGTAGAAATAGTTTTTATGTTTTTACGCG